CAGACTGTAAGTAGGGAAATCCTGTTGACTTTAAATCATTCCAGACTGATGTGTTGAACCTTTTCAGTATCGTTATGTTTTACTGCTTTTGTATTACATGAGTTCTACCTTCTTCCTTAACAATTCTATTTGTTTCAGAAACTCAGCAAAATCAAAAAATATTTGCAATGATTTGGAAATTTCAGGGTTCGAGATCTTAGATATTTTTCCCTTCAAGAAATAACGTCTTATACTTTTCTCCTATCTTTCAGTGTTGGACAGAAAACAGTAATGCCAAATAGCACATGCACTCCCACGTGCTTCAAAATACTATCCAGTCTTTTCTCCTGTAAAACACAATTAGTTCTAAATTAGAATTCTATCCTTACATGAAAACAACTTTTGCAATTTGTGGGGCTCGGGCTAAGGAGCTAAGGTGATTTTAACAGGCTGAAAAAAGCCCTGATGTACATAACTTTGTACATTTATACATACAATAAGGGTACATAATTTGGAAGGACATTTCTAATTAATGCAAAAGAGTTAAACAAAATAACCTGCCTAGAGTGTACTGGCAATGTTACATTAAATAAAAGTTGTTTCAAGATTTTGTATAATTTCTAAGGCAGTAAAACTCCTCTCAAAAGCAACACAAAGAAAATTTACTTAATAATCCCGTATTTCATTCTCTATTCAGACATCTACATAGTGAATTACCAGCCATTCCTAAGAATGCACAGCTCTGTATCTTCTGGTGAGTGAGATGCTGTAATTCTCAGGTGTTTCTCGGGGTCACTTCCATTGCTCTGTATCAGGCTGACTTCTAGCACACGGTATCTGTTGTTCAGCCCCTTCCTCAGTATCATGTCAGGGCAGTCAGCCACTTGCTTCTGAAAACTGAAGAATGGCTCATTACAAAGAGAGAATACCTGAAAACAGCCAGTCTATATACAAAGGAAGGAAAAGCTTCAAATATAAGCCCAACTTTAATCCCCTTCAGTTTTTATACATATTTGGTGTGGTTTTGCAGTTCTGCACAGGTAAACCGTAGAAAACCTCTCTGGTGATATTTTCACGTTCTTTTTGGATGACAGTGACGAAAACCAAGCATTTGGACATCAAGAAGTAAGGAAGGAGACATAAATACTAAATAAGTGGCTATTTATCGCAAGTGCTTCACTTTGGTGTCCACATATCCATATTCACTTGAAAGTAATTTATAACTGCACTGCAAACCCTGTGCTTGTGAGAAAGCTTTTATCTCACTGCACACACGAACGCCCGGTCACCCAACTACCTCAAACACGGAGCAGGAATCTTTTTGACCCATTAATCTGAAGTCGATTAGAAAACTGATATTCAAGACTCAGTTATCCAACAGCCAAAGCCCGAAGCAGAGCAGCAGGGCCGCTCTCCTGACACCGAGCGGTGCCTGCCGGAGCTCCGGGGGCCCCGCCGCCCGCCCTGCCCGGCGCAAACACCTCTCAACAGCCTGGCAGCGACGGGTTCCCCTCGCCGCTTATCCCCGGCGGTCCCGAGCACCCTCCACCTCTCCTCTATGCCCAGGGAAAGCCGCTGCCTCCTCGGCTCGGCCCCGGTGGCCCTCAGAACTCCCCCCATCCCGCCTTCCCGCGCTCAGAGTCGGGAACGCTTCTCATATTCGAACTCCCCGCGCTACGGGCCATCTCCGCCCAGCTGCTCTTCCCGGCGCTCGGCTGCTACCTCTCGGCCATGGGCAGGTCCCGTGCGGCGCTTGGCTCGGCTCTCCCCGTCCCGCGGCTCACACGGCCCCGCACAGCGCGCCCCAGCCCCGCGGCTCCCCGACACGGCCCCTCAGGCCGCCCCTCAGTCCCCTCACGGCAGCGCCGCGGGCCCCGCCCACCGCGGGCAGCGCGGGCCAATGGGAGGCGGCGGGACGGCGGTTGCCGCGCGCGCGGGCCAAAGGCGCGGAGGGGCGCGCGCGACTGCTCGCGCCACCGGGACGGGTCGGGACGGGGGGGAGAAGGGCGGGGCCTGCGCCGTGAGGGAGCGCGAGCGGCGCTGAGGGCGGGGAGAGCCCTTGAGGAGCTGTGGGGGGATTGGGAGAGCTATGGGGGGCTGGGGGAGACAGGGAGAGAC